GTGTACCTGGTCAGTCAGCCAGTTCTGCTCCCCATCTTTCTCTGGTGAATCCGATCACCACCCCTGTGCCTCTGGCCTGTACCCCAGTTATATATGTGTAAATAAATTAAACTTAAAAAAAAAAAGATTATCTTAGCTATATCTTCTGATGAAATCCAAGAATATAATCTTAAAGAACAGAAACGCCCTTGATCCAAAAACTTACAGATCCAGGGACAAGACAGATGAGCCATTCAGCCACACCCAGGTTCTGAGTTTTGCACTGTAGGTGACGCCAATCCAGTAAAGGTATTTGTTAAACTTCATAAAATCCTGTTTAGAAAGAGAAACTAGTTAATTTAATTTATATTTAATCTGGATAACATATTAAAAAAATAGTTTCATCATCAGATTCAGCCTTTTCAGCATAAAAACTGATATCTATTTTTTTAAAAAATTTTATTTAGGACATAATCACACATCTTCCATGTCCCCACATATCAGGCTCATTCACTTCTGGAAAATTATTATAAAATCTCACATCTAGACAGAATGAAAAAAATATATAAATGGAGCTAGAAGTCATGGAACACTTCCTTTGCAGGGCACAAACATTCAAATTGTTCCTACATTTACATCTGAAGGGTTGTATTTTGTGTGTATAATCTTCATAACTTATATTCAGCCCAGATTCTGATGTAACTAGAGATACATTTCACTTTTCCTTAAAATTGGATAGTTCTGATATCATATAGTTATCATGATACATTTCACATTCATTCTACATCCAAAATGATGGCAAAATATTGAGAATTACATTATAAATTACAAAATCAAGCTAAGGGCAAAAAGTACAAATATTTAATTTCTTTTTAAATAAACCTATTATATCTTCTTTTTATTCTTTCTAAAATATCTCCTGAATTTGATTTGACATTGCTTTAAATTTCATTCTACTGCTATAACTCGTTGACAAAGGTCACCAGATTATATAATAATTGTTTTAAGTTATATTCTATTAGTAGCAGACCATTAGTTCAAAAAATAACTTTAGTACAGCCTGAGTAAAGACTGGAATCAGAAGATTAAGATTACTGAGATGGCACATTTTCTTTGTTTTGAAAACATTTCATAAGCCAGAATTAAATTCATACCAATTCATTTCCATTGTGCACCTGAAGTAGAGTAGAATTATGAGATTCACAGAAATCCCTACTTTCATTCCATGTTTTGAATTCACTGGAAATGAAGTAACAGCTGCATTGATATCCGACCCATCTTTCTGGGCAAGAACTATTCACATAACCTATAGGGAAATAACACATAAATGTTGTCTCTGGATATTGTACTTCAGTACTCTTTACTCATTAAAAATTATCTGTATATTTTAATTTTTTGTATAAATTTGAAAATCTGAGCAAATTTTTGAATATCTAGATAAAACTTTTTTTTTTCAATTTACTGTTTTCTCTATTTTGGAGTAACTAGACCTTGGAATAAATTAGGTCCTAGAAATATATAAAGGAAGAAAACATTTCAGCACTATCCTCAGTGACAGGCAGCATAACATATGGTAGGCACACAAATCTTTGCAAAATGAGTGGTTGTAATGAGGGGGTCGCTGTGGGTATGGAATGAAAAGATAAAAATCAAAGGTTAAAAATTTCCAGTTAGAACATGAAAAAATTCTGAGGATCTAGTTCTCAATGCTGTAACTGTAGTCAGCAATGCTATATTATGTTGCTATGTTTGGTAAAAAAAAAAAAAAAAGGAGTAGATCTTAATGTTCTCACTACAGATAATTATGAGATGCATGGTAATTATGACATGCAATAGAGATGTTAGATATACTAGGCTACCATCACATTACAATAAGTTTATCAAATTAAAACATTCTGAGTCTTAAACTTACACAATGTTCTTGTCAATTGTATTCCATGAGCTAGAAAAAAATGAAAGAAAAGAAGATAAATATGAAGTGAATTATAATCACAGAAGACGTTGAGACGATTTGGAGAATATTTGGATAAAGTACATTAAAAATTGTTCTTGTTGCTGACTCACTGGATACATTTTAGATATGCTGAAAGCTATGCATTTAATTTTGAGTCATGGAAGATACAGAAATAAAGGTAGAGATATAAATTCATGGCTTATAAGCAAACATAGTCAATTAATTCAGATTAATTACTACAACTTAATTTATTGAACACTCAAGTAGGAAAAACTGTCACTTCAGGTTAATGTTTTCCTTAATATATAAACACATGAATGATATATATTCAATCTTACTACTCTTATACTGGAGATAAAATGAGCTTATTTTACAGTTAGTGCATCAGTTTGTATAACTAGACTACAACATTGATCATGAAGATAACAGAGAACTATCCACCGAATTCTCCACAAACCCTAAGGTTTACAAAAAAATGGAACAAACCTTTCTGGATTTTGGTGGTAGTTTCTGGGAGGATTACTGTAATAAATGATAGAAATGATTAGAAACCAGTTTGTGAAATAATAAAGGACAGGAGGTCAGTAAATGAAGCATTTATTATTAGGTATTTTCATCTAAATTTTCAGTTTCATATAGGCATATTTAGAAAAACTTACTGTTTTTCAATACAATTCCCAAAGTAGCCATCAACAAAAGGCACGTTACTCCTAAGATCCCAGAAATCCACCTCCATATGGTGGTCTGAAGAGCTGTAGAGAAAGAGGGATAATGACTTGAAGGTAGACACAGAAGTTCTTAAAAGTAGAAACTAGAAAGAGAGAATCCAAAAAGCTCTTTGACTTGGTAACTTGATCCCCTTGACAAAGAAATATTGGAAAATGAAGACAATAAGCTGAATTAATTCTGTGAGATTATCTATACTTTCTCCTCTTCACCAGATCCACCTTAATGATGTACTCTGACTAGTATTTTGTAGGGGTCATAGAAATATGGAGATGTGCCGTAGGAGGAGTCAATAGGCACGATGGATTGAGACATGGGCATTAACTTTTATTTTCTAAGGAAAAAATCACAAGTCTTGATTAACACTAGGCAGATGAGAAACATCAGAATGTTTTAATTATGTTATGTATTCAGACATCAAAGCTCGTAGGTATTCAGCTCAAAAGTAAAATGAGTTTGCCTTGTCCCAGAGTCTTTCC